ACCAAAAATAATCAATTTTTTTTTGTAGTATCTAAAAGGTGTTTTCAATAAAGTTTAGGTTTACGAAATAATTGTAGTTTATTTCATTTTGCCACGTGATTGACCGGCCGGCGTTAGTTGACTCATCTACTCATATCCGTTGGCCTGAATAAAAACAAAATTGTTACTTCTGTCTATTTGTGTTTAATTACTCTTTTTCTTTACGTTATCCATTTACCGATGATTAAATTCTTATTGAATTCACCGATACCTGCTTTCCTGCTTTTCATGCCATGATTATTGTTAATCTTATTACTTGTTTTTAACGTGGTAGTTGCAATATGGAGAGATAAAAAAAGTTAAGAATACAAAGAGATATTATTAAGAATTTGGCAGCACTACTTACTAACAAATATTTTTTTGGAACACTTACAAACCAATCTTAAAATATCGTTTTCTCTCTTTTCTCAGATTAATAATTCTTTTCTTAACAAAGATAATAGTAAATAATTCTTTTCTTATCTTTGCACGTTTACTCCTGCAATTACAGATGGTACTTGGAAAATGACCATAGTATTATGATATGATCTTTGACAATATCAGATCAATAAGCTTTGGTGTATTTCCAAAAGAAGAGATGGAAAAATAATGTTAAGAAGAATGACACTAAAAGAATGTTGCTTCTTCGAGTCTAGTGCAAAATTGTGGGAATAAAACAATGTTTTAGCATGAATTAGATGTTATTGTTCGATCGAGCAGAGAATTAAAAGGTTTTGTGCTAATTTCTCCAACTCTATCTCACGATATTTTTCTTTTTTTTTTTTCTTAGGGACGTATCATAAAGTCTTTGAAAATCACTATACAGTCTACAACATCAAACTTTCCAAACTTTCATAGCTAAAGAGAGAGTTATTTGTGCATGAGATTTGTCTCAGCCAGGGTAGCTGGATCTTATGAACGAACAAAAAAAGGTATGAAAACCTTTGACGTTAATTTACTGGCTTTCTTCATAAATAAAATTTTATAAATCGATAATATTATCTATCTTACTTGACTATCTATAACAGCTAGCATCTTCAATATTTTGACATTCATCTCAACCACTAAATTGAGTTTTCGATTTTAGTTTGTCTTCTACCAGGATATATGTAGATCGAGATTTATCTAGTTTTCAATGTCGAGAAAGTAAAGGTGATTGAAATCAAAATCAAGGCCAATTGAATGATCAATAAGGTACATGTATACATGAGAAAAAATGATGAATTCACCACTGGTGTCTATTTTCCTATTTTTCTTCAAAAAAATAAAATATTATAGTTTGGAGGTTTTTGTTTCCTCCATGCAAAAAAAATTGTATACTTTTCCAAAATTATTATTTTTTCTTCGACTTCGCCATTTTGGTTAACATTTATGGAACAATATGTTCTGCTTCTCCGGGATTTGAAGTTTGGTTATACTCAGCATGTTTTATTCACTATGGGATTTCTGGTTTGATTTCTCATTATCAAAGAGACAATGGGAGGTAATGAATTGCTTAGGAGCTTTCATTATCATAGTCTTCACCTTTTGCTAGCGTTTATTTTCTTTTGGCTTTAAGCTTTCAAAATTTTCATGTATTTGACTCCATGGATTGATTCTCATCTACTGGCTTAGGACTTCGAGGGTTAGTTCTTTTAACTCGTCGTCTTTGGTTTAATCTTGTGTTTGATTTCATTGTATGTAATTGTGTAAGATGGTTTAATGTGAATATACAGCTTTACTGGCGTCAGCGTAGCAGGATAATGTGGCTCCAGCATGGTGACCGCAACACAAGCTATTTTCATGCGGTCACACGAGGCAGGAGGGCAGCTAACGCCTTTTCTGTTATTGAAAATAGTGAGGGCCAAGCAATTTATGGGGAGGACCGTATCACTGATACAATCGCTAACTATTACCAAGAGCTGTTCTCTTCTTGTGGAGGCGGGGACTTAGGAGTAGTCTCTGATGCAATCTCCCCTATGCTGACAGCCGCTGATAATGACACGCTCATCTCCCTACCGAGTGATTCGGAAATTCGCAGAGCAGTCTTTGCAATCCATGGAGACAAAGCTCCCGGGCCTGACGGCTTCTCGGCATCCTTTTACCAAGCTTTCTGGGACATTGTAGGGACGGATGTATGCAGGGAAGTTCGGGAATTCTTTGAACAAGGCACCTTTCACCACAGATACAACGAGACACACGTCCGGCTGATCCCGAAAGTCAAAGCTCCTAAGACTGTTGCAGACTATCGACCCATCGCTCTTTGCTCAACCCATTATAAGATCATTGCTAAGATCTTATGTAATCGACTGCGACCTCTACTACCGACCCTTATCTCTCCGTCACAATCAGCATTTGTAGCAGAGCGTGCGATCTCGGACAATGTGCTGATCACACATGAAGTCTTGCACTACCTGCGCACCTCAAAGGCTAAGGTACATTGCTCCATGGCAATTAAGACGGATATGAGCAAGGCCTATGATAGGATCGAATGGAATTTCCTCGAAGCTGTCCTTATTCGGTTTGGTTTTCACCCTTTATGGGTTGGATGGATTATGGAATGCGTTCAGACGGTTTCGTACTCCTTCCTTATAAATGGGGGAGCTAAAGGACTTGTGCTACCTTCTCGAGGCCTTCGCCAAGGCGACCCACTTTCCCCCTATTTGTTTATTCTCTGCTCAGAGGTTCTTTCAGGCCTTTGCCTTAAGGCCCAGCTGGACGGTTCCCTACCGGGGATCAAAGTAGCTCGAGGTTCACCGGCTTTAAATCACTTACTCTTCGCGGACGATACGATGTTCTTCAGTAGGAGTGACCCCGACAGTTGTGCGACCTTAGCATCTATTCTCCAACGTTATGAGGACGCGTCTGGGCAGTGTATTAATAGACAGAAATCGGCCATCACCTTCTCAGCTAAAACGCCACGGGAAATCAGAATGAGAGTGAAAGGTTTCCTTCACATTGAGTGCGAAGGAGGTGTTGGCAAATACCTCGGTCTACCCGAGCATTTCACGAGACGCAAACGAGATATTTTCTCAAACCTGGTGGATAGATTGAGGCAGAAATCACTTAGCTGGCCTACTAGATTCCTTAATGGGGCAGGGAAGCAAGTGCTTTTGAAGGCAGTACTTGCCGCTCTCCCGGCCTACGCTATGTCGTGCTTCAAGCTGCCGGTCTCACTATGTAAACAAATCCAGTCTATACTCACAAGGTTTTGGTGGGATGTGAAACCCAACCTAAGGAAAATGGCGTGGGTGTCATGGGACAACCTCACTAAACCCAAATCCGCGGGGGGACTGGGTTTCCGCGAGATAGGAATTTTTAATGATGCCTTACTCGCCAAGGTTGCGTGGCGAATCCTTAAAAACCCGCAATCTCTGCTGGCCAGGACCCTTCTTGGTAAGTACTGCCACTCTGAGGATTTTTTGACCGTGGAGACCTCAAATGCCATATCCCATGGATGGCGGGGAATTTTGGCTGGACGCAGTGTCCTCCACCAGCGGTTAGGTTGGGTTGTAGGCTCAGGAAGGAGCATTAGGGTCTGGGATGAACCTTGGCTCTCGCTCAATGTCCCACTTCGGCCAATAGGACCTCCAACACTCGAGAACCAGAACTTGGTTGTCTCTGATTTGATGCACCAGGACTCTCATGAGTGGAATGTGGAAGCGATACGTTATCACCTCCCTCAGTATGAGGAGCACATTCGATTGTTAGTTCCTAGCTCGCTCAATATGCAGGATGAACTAGTATGGTTAGCCTCTAAATCCGGGGTGTACACGTCAAAATCAGGCTATGCCCTTACTAAGATCAACTTGGAACCGGTTGACATAAGTTTCAACTGGAATGCCTGCATCTGGAACAGCAAAACCTCTCCTAAGCTGAAACATCTACTCTGGAAAATAAAAAACAGAGCTGTTGCGGTGGGAAGGAATCTCGAAGCTAGAGGTCTGAGTGGAAATTTTGTGTGCAAAAGATGCGGTCAACCAGAATCAGAGCTACACTTGTTCTTACAATGCCCGTTTGCAACCAACGTGTGGAAGCTGGCGCCAGTAGCATCGTCCCTCTGCGTGGAAAATGCCACCTCCCTCAACGACTTCCTTCAGGCGGCCTCCAGATTGATCGCTTTGCCCCCTACTGGACTCAACGATGCTGCTCTCGCTCCCTGGATTATCTGGTTTCTCTGGTCCGCAAGGAATAAACTCACCTTTGAGGACCTACACCTCTCGGAACATGAGGTAGTCTCGAAGGCTATAAAAGAAGCCAAATCATGGCAAGCTGCTCAACAACTCAAACTTTCTCCGGTCACCACACCTCCGTCTTATAAGTTGTCTCTGCCCACTCCCTTGCTCAATCAAACACAATGTTATGTTGATGCAGCGTGGGTCTCTGCAACAAATATGGGTGGTTTTGGCTGGATTTTCAAGGATCCCTCCACAGGCTCCACTCGCTCGTTTTCTTTAAACCGTAGCCATGTCGGCTCTGCTCTCATTGCAGAAGCTCTTGCGGTTAAAGCTGCACTCTCTGAGGCAGTATCTTGTGGGCTTACTACAGTCACCTTCTGGTCTGACTCGAAGTCGCTCGTTTCTGCGCTATCTTCCCAAGATAAGCTCATAGTCATCCAAGGAATTCTACACGATATCTCTGTCATGTCTGAATCTCTTACCTCTATCTCTTTTAATTATGTTCCTCGTGCAAAAAACTTTGAAGCTGATGCGCTAGCTAAATCAGCTTTGTATGAATTGTCACTCTATGTTTAATCTCTGAAGTAATGGAAGTATGGTTTGTTCAAAAAAAAAAAAAAAAGGTTTAATGTGAATATACTTTTTTAATTAAAAAAAAGCGTCTATCCCCAAAAGTCATGTTTAAATAGTAAGCCCTCCAAGTCCTTATGAATTGTTTAATTCCTACTATAACAAGTTGAAGCATATAAAATTTTGCCGCGTAATGAATGTCACTGATCTCCGGCTATAAATAGGGGAGTAGAGATCATCTCTCTACATAAACAAGTAAAATTGCATTTATTCAAGTATCACTCTCTAGAACCTTTGTTATCAAAAGCACCTCCCAAGGTCCGTCTACAGATATTTAGTGTTTTTTTTTTCTTTTTTTTCCATAGATTAGGTTGACCATAATGATATCTATGTTTCTGTTTCAGTCCTCTATATGAACCGTCGAAATTAGTTAATTGTCGTTCCTTCAGCTGTGAAAACTCCTTCATTTTTATAATGTCATTCCTTCTCTTTATTTTTCTCACTTGTTTTAAGAAAAATAGGAACAAAATCAACTAATCTATTTTGATTTGATCGCATTAACGCATGTTTATGGTTTTAGTTCTCCAAAACGTTTTCTAGTATTTTCTTATCTAAAGTCTTTACTAAATTTTTTTTTGTTGTTTTAGGAACGAAAAGAATGTCGACGGAGTCGTATGAAGATGCCCTTAAAAAACTAGGTGAACTTCTCAGGTACACACACTCTCTTTATCTATCAAAACAGATCTGACATTTTGGAGTTTACAGTGTGTGGAATGATATCAATTTACCCCCATTTTTTTGTCAATAAAATTTTTTCCCCCATTCTACATTGATTATAAATTATTTTGTATGGATAATAGTTTGTTTTCTAACATTATGGTTATATAAAAACGTTAAATTATAATTTGCAGTAAGAAATCGGATCTCGGTAAGGTGGCGCTCGCAAAGATCCAGAAGTTAACGGCTGAGCTTGAGGAACTTAATTCCAACAAGTCATCAGATGCAGTAGAGCGAATCAAATCCGGATTTATCCATTTCAAGACTCACAAGTATCTGTACGTTCACTTCTTTATTCATTATGGATCCGTCCATTTCAATGTAATTTTTGTATGGGTAAAAATTCACTTATCCCCAACATTTATATAGTAATAGTGCTTATAAAAGTTAAATACTTACGTTACTCTAGTTACATTATCAAAAGGGCATAAGACAAAGAAGGTTTATTTTAAGTTTTGTGGATGTTTGTAAACGTGTGTCTTGGTTAAATAAAAGCTCGACTCTTCAGCTTGATGATTAATGTATAATATTATGTATTGGTTTATCAACTTTCAGGAAGAAGCCATCTTTGTACAATGCACTTGCCAAAGGCCAGAGCCCCAAGGTTTCGATTTTGCCAATCTACATATTTTATTCTTTTTCTCCTTTAGTGGTTTCCTTTTCTAGTTTCATTTCACTCTTAAGTGGCCAAAAGGGTATGATACAGAAGTTAAGGTTTAATCCAATAATGACTACTGATGATGGTAACTTTCTGGGCAAGCGCCTAGAGAAAACTCCTAAATAAAACCTAGAAACCCTAAAATTATAAACGACGATTAAGACTACTTGAAAGAGATCATATTTACCATTGTGATTTTTTTTATTTTTTTTGCAGTTTCTGGTGTTTGCTTGTTCTGATTCTCGAGTTAGCCCTACTCAGATCTTGAACTTCAAAGCTGGGGAAGCCTTTGTCGTTAGAAACATTGCAAACATGGTGCCACCTTTTGACAAGGTTCGTCCTAACTAAAAAAAAATAAGAAATATAATTTTCCACGTCCCTCTAATAACATAAACATCACAAAGTTCTTGTTAGTGATTAAATATCACAAGTTCTTGTTAGTGATTAAATAGCTAAATTTATCAATTAACATTAAGCTTTGCTTTTGTGAACTTGCAGACGCAACATTCTGGTGTTGGTGCAGCCCTTGAATTTCCAGTTACAGCCCTCCACGTACGTAATTAATTAATTAATCGTTACTTAGAGATATTTATCTTGTCTTGCTCCTTTGACAATACACATGGTCAGTAAGATGCTTATTAAAAAGCTAATTTGACCAAGTTTTAGCACTAAGTAATGTTATGTTTTGTCATTATCAGGTGGAGAACATTCTGGTGATTGGTCACAGCCGTTGTGGTGGAATAAAGGGACTCATGTCCATTGAAGATAATGCTGCTCCTTCTAAGAAGTAACTAGTCTCAAAACGCTAATATAATCAATATTCTCTAATTGGATGATCAAGCATGAGACAAGATTCTTGGCGATTTGTTCACTAACTCTACTAAAATTCTTTGAAATGGCAGCGTCTTCATAGATAACTGGGTTCAGATCGGTACACCGGCCAAGAACATGATCAAACAGGATTTCAAACATCTGAGCTTCACCGATCAGTGCAGCTACTGTGAGAAGGTACATAATATAAAGAAAAAAAAGACACAATTTTTACTCTGTTCTCTTAGTTTAAAGGTAAAGACTGAGATTGTCCTTGGCTTTCCAGGAAGCCGTGAACGTGTCCTTAAGGAATCTGTTGTCTTACCCATTTGTGAAAGAAAGAGTGATGAAGAACAAGCTCGCCATAAGAGGAGCGCACTACGATTTCGTGAAAGGAACGTTTGATCTCTGGGAACTCGACTTGAAGGCCAAGTCCAACCCTGCTTTTTCCTTTTCTTAAAACATTCCTACTCATGTGTTCTCTATGTTTACTACTTCTGTCATTTCTCTAGTCTCATATGTTCTGTACTGAATAAGCTATAAATAGCATTTTAGTTTCCATATTCATATGAGTTTATTATTCAAAACACTCTACAAGGACTTTTGACACTTGCTTAATTAGCTTTACACATAAAAAAAAGCAACTCAAGGGATAGGATATACAACGACCTTCCCTGTGGCATGGTTCGTTTCTAGGTATGAGAAAGCATCAGCCACACGTGAGAATGGGAACGGTCCTTTGGGATCAACCACTGGCTTCACCTTCCCACTCTCAATGTAAGGATTCAGCTTTTTCAAAACATCGCCGTTAGATGTCACAACGAATCTAAAACCAGGAGGCGTGACAGCTCCGGTCAAGGCCACTACCTTCCCTCCTTCCTTAATCACCTTCACTGCCTTATCACACATCCCTTTGCACAAAACAAAAAAGAATGTTGTTAATTAGTTGCAAAAGAAACTAGATTCATGTGTTATGCTGTTACTCAGGACCGGTCCTGGACAATACCGAATGAAACATTCGGCTATATGCCTCCAAATTTGTAAAAAAAAGTTGTTTAAAGCTTTACTAAATCGCCTATAGCCCTAGTGTTACTTACCAATGGCGTCAAAGACGACATCGAATTTCTCAGTCAAGTCTTCGATGTTCTCCTTAGTGTAATCAATAGCTAAATCAGCACCTAAGCTTCTCACTAGCTCTAGCTTCCCTGTGCTCGCTGTTGCAGCCACCTTTGAAGCTCCATAGACGTGCTTCGCAAGCTATATTCATATATATAAAACATGAGGAATCAATCAATCAAGAACCATTGATAATAAGATTTGATTTTTTTTTACCTGGATCGCAAGGCTCCCTACTCCTCCAGCACCATTGAGAACGAGAATTGATTTTCCGGCAGAGAACTCAGTCCTAACGAGACCTTCGTCGGCGGTTTCTATAGCCAGTGGGAGCCCTGCGGCTTGAGCGAAATCGATGTTTTTAGGTTTTAAGGCTAATAGCTTCTCTTCCACGGCAGTGTACTCCGCCAGAGAACCCGATTGCTTCGGTCCTTCTAATGCTTTCTCGCTCACGTTTGCGTATACTTCGTCTCCTTGTTTGAATTCTTTCACCGCGCTTCCCACCTTCACTACTACTCCTGCGACGTCGTATCCAGGAACAGTCTGCTCTTACAAATAAAATTCAAATAAAGAATCTGAAATTTGAATTTAAGTATATACCTAAATCATCTATCTATATTATTAAAAGTGAAGAACAAAATATAACTAATTTTCTTTCAATAGATTTATTACATCTTTTCTTTTTTATTTCATTCATCTTAACACTTTATTAATTATTTATTTTCAAATATCTTTTTTCTTTATTTTCATTCATCTTAACACTTTATTAATTGTTTATTTCTAAATAACTTGATAGTGTATATTATAAAATTACAAAACATAACTTATATATTTTAAATATTTTATTATATTTTTTACATTTTTCTTTCAAATTACTTCATTAATTATATTTACCATAATAATTTAATGTCATTTATTTTACAATGTTAACCATAATAGTTTCACATATTTAAATGAAATTGTTCCGTTTGTAAAAGAATCCAAACCGGTTAACAAAAAAACATTTTTTGTTTACGTAATCAACTAAACATAGACATCCATGTATATATGTTGGGATACAAATCGGTTATTTGGGTATCAGATTTTCTAGATTTAAAATTAAGTTTTATTTGGATATTTATAAATTTTCGGACGAGATTCGAGTTGAATACTTACGAGTTCGATAAGTTTGTAGGCAGCTAAAAGTATCTATATTTATATATTTAAAAAAATTATCAAACAATTTATAAAATAAATAAAAAGAAATTAATTATACCCACACGACAGATCAAACTCTAGTTAAATTAACTTTGTCCAGTTGAAACTTACCGGGAGAGGCGAGTCAGTGGCTTTGAATTTGCCTTGCCGTCTCTTAGCGTCGACGGGATTAAGAGCAGCGGCAACAACTTTGATCAGCACCTGATCATCGTTAACAACCGGAACTGCAATGTTGCTCTCTAGCTTCAGAACATCCACTCCGCCGTACTCACTGTACACCCACGCCTTCATCTCGCTTGGAATCGAAGCATCCGTTGCCACGTTAACTGCTGATGAAGCGCTCTCAGAGCTCGCCGAGATCTTCAGCAATGTCTTTCTTTGCACGCCCGATCCTAATCTGTTTAATCGGAGAGCCGACGGTTTTGCAAGGGAACAATGACGGTGAAGAGGCGTCTCACGGCGGAACGCGGGAGTTGTGGCGGTGGTTGTTGCGAGCGCAGTGTTCATTTTTCAGTGTACCGCTAACTTCACGAAACAGCTTATCTCTTTCGCTTCCTCTGCTTTTTATTCGAATTCAATCACTACCACATCTCGTGGCGTCCTCTGATTGGGCACTGCTTTTCTGTGGTTGTCGTTTTAATCTTTTGATCAGAAAAATTGTGGCGTTTCTGCGTCCGAGACTCGTTAACCAGAAACGGCGGGTAGTGCATCGATAGTGTTGCACGTGACATGAAGTTTAGGAGAGAACGACATGTTGTTTTCATCAATTTACGTTAACCTGTAACGCGAGCTGGAAATATGGGCTTAAATATTAATCGGGCTTGATAGGCTATCTCTGATACGGATCCAGTAAAAACGGTTACTAAAATCGAGTCAACATTCATCTAGGCACGATGATGAATCGATAATACAACCACGCACAACGTGGCACGATGTGTACACGTGGACGAGTGAAATTTGATCACTGGGCAAGATTGAATACTGACCGTGGGTTTCCTCACACGGCCATAACTCAAAAAGAAGAAAGCTACTTCCGGGGACTTTTCATTGGATGTGACGTCAATCAGATCTCTCTAACCTTTTCTCCTCAACCTACGTATAATCCAAAGATAAGGTAACCGAAATGTATTGTACTGTGAATCTTCCTTCGTTGATCTTTTTTCATAACTCTTGTGTGTTGTTGCTCAATGTATTGCCTAAACTGAATAATCTAACATGATTTATAACTTTGAGGTTTTGGATCATTTATATTGGTTAGAACTTATGTGTTTTGTTTCATTACAGGACTCTTGAAAAATGGCAGATACGAAACCTGGGTTGAGAAAGCCAGCTTTCACAAAGGTTGATCAGCTTCGTCCTGGAACTAGCGGACACAATGTCACCGTTAAGATCGTTAGCACCAAGTTGGTGTTACAGAAAGGTCGTGCTGATGGTCCTCAGGCTCGCCAGATGCGCATTTCTGAATGCATTGTTGGAGACGAGACCGGTGTTGTCGTATTCACCGCAAGAAATGACCAAGGTACTAATCTAAGAGACTGACATTTGGTTGTGACAATCATAATTGTATGTTAGGAATGTATCCAAGGGTTAGTGAATAACTGAATTGTAACATGTTGTATTGATATTTGGTTCTTTATAATTGTTTTTGTGTGTGCAGTCGACTTGATGAAAGAAGGATCCACGGTAACTCTACGCAATGCAAAAATAGACATGTATAAAGGATCAATGAGGCTAGCTGTAGACAAGTGGGGTCGCGTTGAAGTCACAGAGCCTGCCAGCTTCAAGGTGAATGAAGACACCAACATGTCACTTGTCGAGTATGAGCTTGTCAATGCTGTCGAATGAGTGGCAAAATTTCTCGATTTGGCGATGATCAGTATTAATAAAGGAAGTAAAAATCGTTAAGTGTTGATGTTGGCATTAAGATAATAGTTAGCCTGATATCTCTATCTAGCACAAAGCTATGGAAGAGTGAGATGCCTATATAAAAGTAAATGCAGAGATTTTGGGTTTAGTTGATTTGCTTTGTTAATTATGACTTTGTTACAGCTTTCGTTTTGCAATGTCAACATAATCCTTAAGGCTTCTGTGCAAAGTTATTGCATAGGTGCAAACATTTGGTACCCTTCAAAACTAACAATGGCAGTAGGTTGTCTCAAACATTTTGGTACACTTCAAACCCACTAACCCCATATATGATATGTTGTTCTCAATATACACTTCCACGGTTCCACCAATACTTTTTAATACCTTGTATAAGTTAGCTCTACCAGCTGAGAACCTGATCATCTATATATGAAAAATGAACCTAAACTTTGTTGCATGACATAATAATTAGTCCAACTTCTGTTAAGGGTTGGTCAACATACACTCATCGAAGTTGAACAACTACCTACTATCTTTCTGGTTTCGTTTCTAATAAATTATCCTGTAAACGACCTAAAAAGGTTAGTCAACCAATCTTTATTTTTCACAACTGATAGACACATCATTATTGTTTACGAATTGTTTTTCGCAAAAGTTACTCCAGTTACCGAAATTTTTGTAAAGCTAATAACAGTGAAACTTTTTTTTCATCCATTTGTGAAAAAACAGGATATGTACCAATTGTCCATTCTGTTTGAGAATAAACAGAGTCAACTCAAAACCAAAGTAAGTAGATTGGTATATACGACTCTGTTTCACAAAAAAATATCTTTTTAACCCTTTTTGTTGCAAAAAAAAATATCACTTTAGAACTCTAATACAATTTATATCTATTTAACATTAATGTTAATTTAATTATAAAAGGATTTGGTTATATAAATAATTTAATAAAGATATAAATGAACTTCAATTATTTTTAAAATTTGAGAGAAAAATTCAAAACTACACTTTTTGAAAAAAGGATATTGATATTAATTTAATAAATGGATTAGAGAAGAAGTGTATAAACCAAGAAGATCATGTGTAGGAGATCATACTACTAAAAATTAAAATAGAATCTATATTATAATGATTCAGTTTAAAGGCTCCTTAAGGTGTCCACATAGGCAGATTGTGGGTCCCACATTTTTATATTAAAATAGATAGTTGTTTTAAAATGGCTACAAACAAAGAATATCAGATTAGTCAAGTGGTCTAAGACCCCATGTTTGGTCTCCAAGGACATGTGTTCAATTCCCACTGCTCTCATGCATAAACCAATTAATGTCATCATCATAAAAATATTTTTTAAACACACATAGTCTTGGTAAGATGGTTACAAACAATGAAATACACTTTAGCCAAGTGGTATAAGGTGTCTAATTAAGTATGCAAGATTGTGGGTTCAAACCACGCAGCTATCATGTATTTTTGATTTTTTTTATTTAGGTTATTATCATATGGGCTTTTTGTTTACAAGGAGGTTCTTATGTTTTTTTTTGGGCTTATTGTTTTAAAGATCAAAATAGTTGTATAAACCCTAAACCTTAATAAGTTCAAAACCAAAATAGTTAAAAATGAATCCAAAACGAATAATAAAACAAAAAACAAAAAAAAAACAAGTCTCACGTGGTTGCCTACGCAGTTAAAACTATCATATTATAATATAGCTCAACCCAAAAATAATAAAAAAATAAATCCAAAAACGAACAGACAAAAAAAAAACAAAAAAAAAAAGTGAATTCCACGCGGGTGCATACGTGGATGGTTTAATGAGGGTTGAATAATATAGATTAGGAGTTCAAAAAGTTAAATCATTGCACATATTTCCTAATATATATTTTCAAAAAATTTGTATGTGAGATAAAATAAAATAAAACAACAAAAATTAATTATTTTCGTTATTATTAAATGAATATATAATTTCTCTTACGTTTTAATAACTACTATAATTTCCTTGAAAACATT